CAGTAAAGTACATTAAAGTATAAAGCCATAGAGTACAGTAAAGTACAGTACAGTAAAGTATGATGCCGTAGAGCACAGTAGAGTACAGTAAAGTACAGTAAAGTAGAGTACAGTAAAGTATAAAGCAGTAGAGTACAGTAAAGTACAGTAAAGTATAATGCCGTAGAGTACAGTAAAGTAAAGTATAATGCCATAGAGTACAGTAAAGTACAGTACAGTAAAGTATAAAGCAGTAGAGTACAGTAAAGTACAGTACAGTAAAGTATAACGCCGTAGAGTACAGTAAAGTATAATGCCGTAGAGTACAGTAAATTAGAGTACAGTAAAGTATAACGCCGTAGAGTACAGTAAAGTAGAGTACAGTAAAGTATAGTACAGTAAAGTATAGTACAGTAAAGTATGACGCTGTAGAGCACAGTAAAGTAGAGTACAGTAAAGTATAAAGCAGTAGAGTACAGTAAAGTAGAGTGCAGTAAAGTATAAAGCAGTAGAGTACAGTAAAGTATAGTACAGTAAAGTAGAGTACAGTAAAGTATAAAGCAGTAGAGTACAGTAAAGTACAGTACAGTAAAGTAAAATAGAGTACAGTAAAGTATAAAGCAGTAGAGTACAGTAAAGTACAGTAAAGCAAAATAGAGTAMAGTAAARTAGAGTACAGTAAAGTATAAAGCAGTAGAGTACAGTAAAGTACAGTAAAGCAAAATAGAGTACAGTAAAGTAGAGTACAGTAAAGTAAAGTAMAGTAAAGTATAGTAAAGTAAAGGTTCACTGTGGAGTTTTAGATCCAAAATGGTTGCAGACAGCGGCTCTGGATGTCTGCAGGCTCGTTCTTGTTCGATGTGTATGGAACGTTGTGAGGAGAACGTTGTGTGCTCATGTGGAACGTTGTGAGGAGAACGTTGTGTGCTCATGTGGAACGTTGTGAGGAGAACGTTGTGTGCCCATGTGGAACGTTGTGAGGAGAACGTTGTGTGCTCATGTGCAGACGACGTTCTCCACGTTCACGAGTAAACTTACAGACTTACAGACGGACTCTTTGTGACCAAATGTCTTGTGTTTGAGATGAAATATGATTTGGAGATAAAACCTTATTTAGTTTTAAAGTAGTGATTTTAAGGTGGTATCAGATCTGCATCTGGTGACCTTTGACCTCCTCATGTTTAGTTTCTTAGCATCGATGGAGCTGCAGATGATCCAGACTGGTGTATAAAAATCAGCTGTTCACACTGCAGATAACAGTGTGTGCGTGTGTGTGTGTGTGTGTTGCCTCTATCTGCTGCTCTCTCGGTAAATATTAGGACAGCTCAGAGATCAGACAGGTTTACATGCTGCAGCTCCAACAGTCAACAGCCGAGTTTGTAAAACAAAGTGGGAGAGTTGAAGGGGGGATGTGGGGGGGGGGTGTACTGGCTCAGGTGTTCAGGAAGTCAGTTACTGTCGTCCAATGATTTCTCAGAGGAGTAACTCAGTCAAATCTGAACACATGACACATTCAAGTGATGTCATCATATCTCATGATAGACGTCAGTGAAGCTGCTTAGAAATCACAGAAAAAAGGCTTCTAAAAACTGCAGAACTTGCATGAGAATTATCACGTTTTAAAGTATTATTCACTATCAAAGTAATCCAGTTACAGTTGTTCGTACATCAGAGGGTGCAGAGCCAACAGGAGCTGCTAATATCTGATTCACAACACGTTTAATGGCTTCACACCAACAACACCATCAACATCCACTCTGACGTAGCAGTCGGTGAAATCTGACACGCGACCACAAATGAAGAGCTATAGCATGAAGGTATCGCCACTAATACCTTGATCCCAGGAGAAAAAAGACCCCGTAAGTGACAGCCACAGCACCACAGAAGAAGAAGACAGGGAGGTACAGAGTGACAGGTGAGGAGGCAGCGTCAGCTAAAGGTCTGAGTTTAGTCTGAGGATTAAGATCAGCAGCTGTGAGGTTAAAAATACTGATATAATAGAATTAAAACAGGAGGAAGGTCACACGCTGAACAGTATATATATATATATACATGTATATGTATATATATATATATATATATATACATATACATACACACACACTTAGTCCCACTATATACAGTAGTGATCTTGGGGATGGAGCCGGGTTATCAAGGTCCTGAACCAATCACGAGCCGAGCACAGCTCATTAGCGTGAGCCACCTAGCTGCTACATTAGCACCACTGAATCGATATTTTTATTTACAGTTAATTAATATTCTCCAAAGACACAGAAAATAAACATCAGTCAAAGATCAGAGAGTGGAACATCAGTTATCATAAAGTACTATAAGTATGTATATATTGTATCTGTTAAATGTATATATTTGACTACAATGAGCTCTTTAGCTTTGACTAAAGATAAACTTCCATCTGCTCAGTAACACTTGGAGATCCACTGTTTCTGCGTCTGTCTTGGATATTTATTTAAATCATAAAATGTTTCTTTCTGAGACAAAAGCAGGAAAATGAGCCGTAAAGTGACGTAACGACGACTCTCTTCCTGTTGGCTCTCTGGGCTTCGTCAGAGACGAGAGTCTATTTCTGTCTCCTCCAGGAAGCTGTGGTGAGTTGCTAGCAGCTAGCTCCTACGCTATCTCAGCACACACACACACACACACACAGCTTTAATTAAACACTATTAAACATGATGACAGTTCAAACTGGAGAAGGAATGTTTCAGTTGACAGGAGGCGAGAGTACAAAGTACAGGATGTAGCGTCTCTAAGATCCTGTACTGCAGTAAAAGTACTAGTACCACACTGTCAAAGTACTCCACATCAAGTACAAGTCCTGCAGTCAAAACATTACTAAAGTAAAAGTATATAAATGTCGTTAAAGTAAAAGTATTGATTGCTCAGTAAAATGTTTTACTCTTATATCTGATATTTATGCTGTAGTACAAAGTACAACATGTACCTCTGAGACGTAGTACAGTACAAAGTACAATAGGTACCTCTGAAATGTAGTACAACAAAAACTACAATATGTACCTCTGAGACGTAGTACAGTATAAAGTACAATATTTAGTGAAGGACAATTAGAGAGTAGCAGAACGTGAAAATACTATAATAAGTTAAGTACAAGTACAAGTACGTAGTATTTGTGTGAACGTAATTAGACTCGTTCTCCTTCAGGTTGAATTGTTTACGATGTAAAAACTTGTTCTTCTCAAGAACTAATGTGTGAACTACTCAAAGAAAAATGAAAGAGACAATACTTCACTTCTATTATCATATTATCATATTATCATAACCAGACTAGTTCTGTGGTTTCAGCCATCAGGAGTCCAACTTATTTAAATTAGCACCAATAAAATTATGCAGAATTATCTGTTAGCTCCTGTTTAAAGTGTATTCGATCACTTTGATACTGAAGAAAACTTCTCAAGCAAGTTCTGCAGCGTTTTACTGTGATTTTTATGTGGATTTATGGACGTTTATGGAAACAACAAAGACACACACAGACACACACAGAAACACACACACACACACACACACACACACACACACACACACACACACA